TGAGATGACCCGGCCCAGGTGAGGTGACCGGCCCAGGTGAGGAGAGGTGACCCAGCCCAGGTGAGGAGTTGTGACCCAGCCCAGGTGAGGTGACCGGCCCAGGTGAGGTGAGGTGACCGGCCCAGGTGAGGAGCTGTGACCCAGCCCAGGTGAGGTGACCCGGCCCAGGTGAGGAGCTGTGACCCAGCCCAGGTGAGGTGACCCGGCCCAGGTGAGGAGAGGTGACCTGGCCCAGGTGAGGAGCTGTGACCCAGCCCAGGTGAGGTGACCCGGCCCAGGTGAGGTGACCCGGCCCAGGTGAGGGCAGAACTCACCTGAGAAGTTCCTGAAGAGCCGTGAGAAGGTGGAGAAGCGGTTGCGGTGCAGCCACTGCTGCGCCTCCTGCGGGCTCCAGGTGGGCAGCAGCGTCTGGGGGGACACAGGTGCCACCAGGTGACCCGGCTGACCCGGTCAGGTGCTGGCAGTCAGGCAGGTGAGCTCGGGTGAGCTCAGGTGGGTCACGCAGGTGGGAACTGGACAGGTGGGATGAGGGGATGACCTCAGGGGTGACCTGGATGTGTTTCCAGGTGCTCTGCTGAGGTCAGGTGGGCTCAGGTGGGCTCAGGTGGGCTCAGATGGGCTCAGGTAGGTCACACAGGTGGGCTCAGGTGAGCTCAGGTGAGCTCAGGTGGGTCACACAGGTGGGCTCAGGTGAGCTCAGGTGAGCTCAGGTGGGTTAGGTGGGTCACATAGGTGGGCTCAGGTGGGTCAGGTGGGTTAGGTGGGTCACATAGGTGGGCTCAGGTGGGTCGCACAGGTGGGCTCAGGTGAGCTCAGGTGAGCTCAGGTGGGCTCAGGTGGGTCAGGTGGGTCACATAGGTGGGCTCAGGTGAGCTCAGGTGAGCTCGGGTGAGCTCAGGTGGGTCACGCAGGTGGGAACTGGACAGGTGGGATGAGGGGATGACCTCAGGGGTGACCTGGATGTGTTTCCAGGTGCTCTGCTGAGGCTCAGGTGGGCTCAGGTGGGCTCAGGTAGGTCACACAGGTGGGCTCAGGTGAGCTCAGGTGAGCTCAGGTGGGTCGCACAGGTGGGCTCAGGTGGGTCAGGTGGGCTCAGGTGGGTCAGGTGGGTCGCACAGGTGGGTCAGGTGGGTTCAGGTGAGCTCAGGTGGGCTCAGGTGGGCTCAGGTGGGTCAGGTGGGCTCAGGTGGCTCAGGTGGGTCAGGTGGGCTCAGGTGGCTCAGGTGGGCTCAGGTGGGTCAGGTGGGGTCAGGTGGGCTCAGGTGGGCTCAGGTGGCTCAGGTGGGTCAGGTGGGTCAGGTGGGCTCAGGTGGGCTCAGGTGGGTCACACAGGTGGGCTCAGGTGNCAGGTGGGCTCAGGTGGGCTCAGGTGGGTCACACAGGTGGGAGTCCCCCGGTGGGGCAGCGGGGCCGTGGCACCCAGGTGCCTGCAGGTGAGCGGAGGGCTGTGGAACCCCAGGGTGCCCAGCAGGTGCCCGGCAGGTGCCCGGCAGTGCCCGGCAGTGCCCGGCAGTGCCCGGCAGTGCCCGGCAGGTGCCCGGCAGTGCCCGGCAGTGCCCGGCAGTGCCCGGCAGGTACCCAGCAGGTGCCCAGCAGTGCCCGGCAGGTGCCCGGCAGTGCCCGGCAGTGCCCGGCAGTGCCCGGCAGGTACCCAGCAGGTGCCCAGCAGTGCCCGGCAGTGCCCGGCAGGTACCTGGCAGTGCCCAGCAGTGCCCGGCAGTGCCCGGCAGTGCCCGGCAGGTACCCAGCAGTGCCCGGCAGTGCCCGGCAGTGCCCGGCAGGTGCCCGGCAGGTGCCCGGCAGTGCCCGGCAGTGCCCGGCAGGTGCCCGGCAGGTACCTGGCAGTGCCCGGCAGTGCCCGGCAGGTGCCCGGCAGGTACCTGGCAGTGCCCGGCAGTGCCCGGCAGTGCCCGGCAGTGCCCGGCAGGTGCCCGGCAGTGCCCGGCAGTGCCCGGCAGTGCCCGGCAGGTGCCCGGCAGGTGCCCGGCAGTGCCCGGCAGGTGCCCGGCAGTGCCCGGCAGTGCCCAGCAGGTGCCCAGCAGGTGCCCGGCAGGTGCCCAGCAGTGCCCGGCAGTGCCCGGCAGTGCCCGGCAGTGCCCGGCAGTGCCCAGCAGGTGCCCGGCAGGTGCCCGGCAGTGCCCGGCAGTGCCCGGCAGTGCCCGGCAGTGCCCAGCAGTACCCGGCAGTGCCCGGCAGGTGCCCGGCAGGTGCCCGGCAGTGCCCACCAGGTGCCCACCAGGTACTTACGTCAGCCAGGGGCGCGGGGGGGTCGGGCTGGTGGCTCGGGGACCCACTGCTGGAGACAGAGGGACAAGGGTCACTGGGACACCGGGATACTGGGAATACTGGGAATACTGGGATTACTGGGACATGGGGCACTGGGACACTGGGATACTGGGAATACTGGGAATACTGGGAATACTGGGAATACTGGGACACCGGTCACTGGGACACTGGGATACTGGGAATACTGGGAATACTGGGAATACTGGGATACTGGGGATACTGGGAATACTGGGGATACTGGGAATACTGGGATACTGGGATACTGGGAATACTGGGGATACTGGGAATACTGGGGATACTGGGAATACTGGGAATACTGGGATACTGGGATACTGGGAATACTGGGGATACTGGGATACTGGGGATACTGGGATACTGGGAATACTGGGATACTGGGAATACTGGGGATACTGGGGATACTGGGATACTGGGGATACTGGGGATACTGGGGATACTGGGATACTGGGGATACTGGGGATACTGGGGATACTGGGATACTGGGATACTGGGGATACTGGGGATACTGGGGATACTGGGAATACTGGGATACTGGGATACTGGGGATACTGGGAATACTGGGATACTGGGATACTGGGGATACTGGGGATACTGGGGATACTGGGAATACTGGGGATACTGGGATACTGGGGATACTGGGGATACTGGGATACTGGGGATACTGGGATACTGGGAATACTGGGATACTGGGGATACTGGGAATACTGGGATACTGGGGATACTGGGGATACTGGGGATACTGGGAATACTGGGATACTGGGGATACTGGGAATACTGGGATACTGGGGATACTGGGAATACTGGGGATACTGGGAATACTGGGATACTGGGGATACTGGGATTACTGGGGATACTGGGATACTGGGGATACTGGGGATACTGGGGTTACTGGGAATACTGGGATACTGGGGATACTGGGATTACTGGGGATACTGGGATACTGGGGATACTGGGGTTACTGGATACTGGGACACCGGTCACTGGGACACTGGGATACTGGGAATACTGGGAATACTGGGACACCGGTCACTGGGACACTGGGATACTGGGAATACTGGGAATACTGGGNCCGGTCACTGGGACACTGGGATACTGGGAATACTGGGAATACTGGGACACCGGTCACTGGGACACTGGGATACTGGGAATACTGGGAATACTGGGGCACTGGTCACTGGGACACTGGGAATACTGTGGATACTGGGATTACTGTGACACTGGGAATACTGGGATTACTGGGACATGGGGCACTGGGACACTGGGAATACTGGGAATACTGTGACACTGGGGTTACTGGATACTGGGACACCGGTCACTGGGACACTGGGATACTGGGAATACTGGGAATACTGGGGATACTGGGGTTACTGGACACTGGGACACCGGTCACTGGGACACTGGGACATGGGGCACTGGGATTACTGGGACACTGGGATACTGGGATAGTGGGATAGTGGGATACTGGGATATTGGGATATTGGGGACATGGGATCCTGGGATACTGGACATCAGACACCGGAATAATGGGGACACTGGGATACTGGGGACAGAGGGACACTGGGACACTGGTCAGTGGGATACTGGGATTACTGGATACTGGGACATGGGTCACTGGGATACTGGGATACTGGGAATACTGGGACACCGGTCACTGGGACACTGGGATACTGGGGACAGAGGGACACTGGGACACGGGTCACTGGGATACTGGGGACACTGGGACATGGGATACTGGGACACGGGTCAGTGGGATACTGGGATACTGGGATTACTGGATACTGGGACACGGGTCACTGGGATACTGGGATACTGGGAATACTGGGAATACTGGGAATACTGGGACACCGGTCACTGGGACACTGGGATACTGGGGACAGGGGGACACTGGGACACGGGTCACTGGGATACTGGGGACACTGGGACATGGTAACTGGGCACTGGGATCACTGTCACTGGGGTCACTGTCCCAGTGGGTACTGGGGTCACTGGGACAATACTGGGGATGCCATCACTGGTGTCACTGGGTGGCACTGGGGTGGCACTGGGGTCACTGGGTGTCACTGGGTGTCACTGGGGTGGCACAGGGGTGATAGTGGGGTCAGTGGGATGATACTGGGATGGCACTGGTGTTACTGGGATGACAGTGAGATGATACTGGGGTCACTGGGGTGGCACTGAAATGGTGCTGGGGTGGCACTGGGGTCACTGGGTGTCACTGAGGTGTCACAGGTGTCACTGGTATCACTGGGTGTCCCCGGTGTCACTGGCTGTCACTGGCTGTCACTGGGGTGTCACTGGCTGTCACTGGCTGTCACTGGGGTGTCACTGGGGTGTCACTGGGTGTCACTGGGGTGTCACTGGGGTCACTGGGGTGTCACTGGGTGTCACTGGGGTCACTGGGATGGCACTGGGGTGTCATTGGGTGTCACTGGGTGTTACTGGTGTCACTGGGTGTCACTGGGGTCACTGGGATGGCACTGGGGTGTCATTGGGTGTTACTGGTGTAACTGGGTGTCACTGGGGTGTCACTGGGTGTCCCCGGTGTCCCCAGGGTGTCCCAGTGTCCCCTGGGTGTCCCCGGGGTGTCCCGTGTCCCGGTGTCCCCAGGGTGTCCCAGTGTCCCCTGGGTGTCCCTGGGGTGTCCCGTGTCCCGGTGTCCCCAGGGTGTCCCCGGGGTGTCCCATGTCCCGGTGTCCCTGGGGTGTCCCCAGGGTGTCCCCAGGGTGTCCCTGGGGTGTCCCGGTGTCCCTGGGGTGTCCCCGGTGTCCCTGGGGTGTCCCGGTGTCCCTGGGGTGACCCTGGGGTGTCCCCGGTGTCCCTGGGGTGTCCCGGTGTCCCTGGGGTGTCCCTGGGGTGTCCCCGGGGTGTCCCCAGGGTGTCCGGTGTCCCCGTTCTCACTGGGTGTCCCGGTGTCCCCGGGGTGTCCCGTGTCCCGGTGTCCCCGGGGTGTCCCTGGTGTCCCCGGGGTGTCCCTGGGGTGTCCCCGGTGTCCCTGGTGTCCCCGGGGTGTCCCTGGGGTGTCCCCGGGGTGTCCGGTGTCCCTGGGGTGTCCCGGTGTCCCCGGTGTCCCTGGGGTGTCCCTGGTGTCCCTGGTGTCCCCGGGGTGTCCGGTGTCCCCGGGGTGTCCGGTGTCCCCAGGGTGTCCCTGGGGTGTCCCCGGGGTGTCCGGTGTCCCCGGGGTGTCCCCTGGGTGTCCCCGGGGTGTCCGGTGTCCCTGGGGTGTCCCCGGGGTGTCCCTGGGTGTCCCCGGGGTGTCCGGTGTCCCGCACTCACCCGTCCCCGAGGGAGAAGCCGCTGTGGGAGCTGTTGAAGCCGGGCGACGGCGCGCTGGGCACGTAGGTGACCTCGGGCCAGGGCGAGCACTGCGGGCACGCCAGGTGAGCTCAGGACCTGGGCTGCGCCGGCGCACACCTGGGCTGCACCTGTGCGCACCTGAACACATCTGAACACACCTGGGGTACACCTGTGCACACCTGAACACACCTGCACACACCTGGGGTACACCTGTGCACACCTGAACACACCTGCACACACCTGGGGTACACCTG